TCTCTACAGGCCCCATGCCTTTGCCACTTCAGGAAATCCCACTGCTTCTGTTTCCTTCGAGAAGCCCTGGGACCTGCAGACACCTGTGGGGAGAAGGAACAGGGCATGTTTTTCTGCAAATGGAGCCTCCTAGGCTCATTGTCTGTTTTCTCCCACTGAGAGGGTGAATTGGGTTTACACCTTGAATGCCTAAAATACCCATTTGTAATGTGACTCTTTTTTTTATTTTATAAAATTTATTATGAAAAATTTAAATATAAAGCAAAGTTGAAAGGATTGCATAGTGAACACCTACATGCCCACCCCTTCAATTCTATTAGTAACATTTTCCTATACTCCTGTTTCCCCTTTCTGGAGCCCAGGTCAGCGTGATCCCTGGCTGGTCAGTGAGCACGCTATAAATTCCCCACAAGGAGAATACATTAATAACAGACAGAGGTAAGGAGACAAAGCTGGCCTTAATTACCAGGTTGATGGGTGAGGGAGGGGGTCAGGGATGTGCCTACTGGCTGTTAAAGCAAAACTAATGAAAACAAGTTACTAAGTAGATGAGGAAGTGATTTAAAAATGTCATCCAGCATTTAATTCATGCCATTTTAAAATATAGAAATGATACAAGTAGGATAAGTTTCAAACAAGACAAGTCTTATGAATTGCCTGACTCAGAGAAGGCCACACTTGTGAAATTCTAGATTATCGTCCTCTCTTTTCCTCTGTGTCAGAGTTCTCAAAAACTCTGGCAGACACTATCATCCCTTCCTCAGCTAACTCTTGCTCTCCCCGGGCCAGAATCACATCTGAGTCCACCCCTCATGAGTGGGCCTCATCTCAGCTACTGCTTCAGGTGTTCCCGGGCACATCCCATCCTGTGAAGTCCATCACATCACATCTGTGTTGGGCAAATGAATCCAAACATAGACATCTTGAATACAAAAATCTTGATTTTTAATGATGGAAAAATTTTAAAGATTTTTATTTTGAAATTGTTATATAACAGTTGCAAAAATGGCAGAGTCCCTGTTTATCCTTTACCCAGCTTGCTCTGTTGGCATCCTATAGAACAGCATAACCACCCCTCATGTTTCCCCTCATTTTCATGACCTTCACATTTTTTAAAAGTACTGGCCAGTTATTTTGTAGGATTCTCTCAGTCTGGGTTTGTCCTGTACTGTCTCGTGGCTAGATCATGGTTATGGGTTTGTAGTAAGAATCCCATGGAAGTGACCAGCCCTGATGCGCATGTGTCCTGTCTGGCTGGTTTTGGTCATGGTCACTTGGTTAGGGTAGTGCCTGTCAGGTTTCTTCCCTATAAAGTTTTCTATTTTTTTTCCCTTTGTAATTAATTAATTCAGATCCTTGGGGAGATGCTTTGAGGCTATGCAAATACTGTTTCTCCACAGTCTCTCACCTACTAATTTTAGTATCTATTCATGCATTTTGCCTGTGACAGTTATTACTACGGTGTTTTAATGGTGAATCTTCTGGCCCCTCACCATTCTTTATTTGTTCAATTATTTATATCATAAGGACTCAGAGGTATTTAATTTCGTGTCTGGTCAACTTCATCACAAGTGCAGACATTTTCACCATGTAACTAATTGACCATAAGACGATTTTGCCATAAAAGAGAATAGAACTAACTGGTTGACAATTCAGTTTCACATCTCTGTTGACAAATCAATCAACTGCCTTTGGCAGACTTTATTTATATTGAAGCTAGTTGTCAGTTTGGTTTAATTTCTCCGATGACAAAATAAAGATCCAACTCTTAACAGACTGACGTGTTATCAGTTTCCAGTACAGCGGTGTGTGCTAGCTGGCTTTGCACTCTAATTCTAACATTTCCAGTAAGTCTGATGACTGAAAAAAAAAAAACGTTCAGTACTATCGATGAATGGAAGACTTGGAAGACGAGTGGTGAGCTACAGTCTGCAAAAACGGTTCTTTACACAGCATTACTGTGAATCTGCACCCATTTTTAAGCATATTCACATATTTGTCATTATATATTCATATTTGAATATTTTGTATTTTTAATTTTGTTACTAATTTTTCATGTCTCATGGTATCATTTTGAATATTCCCTTTTTATTTTTCCTCCTTTTTTAATGTCAAAATTGCCTTATGGCCAATTAGTTATGCTGTTAAAATGGGGAAAAATGACCTAGAACCATTTATTTTATTTTACAGATTATAATCCACTACTGTTGTTACTTACTTTATTACTCAGTTGTTCCCATCTTAGCCATGAGAGCTCATTATTAAAGTTTTTATTGTGAAAATTTTCAATCACTGTAGAAAAGCTGGAAGGTGAGCACAAGGAAACCCATCATGCCTCCACTGCGATTTGGTTACCTTTAGCATTGGATCATATTTGCTTTCTCTCCTCTCACCTCGTCCCACAGTGTTTCACAAATGCACCATCTGTTGTTTTTTTATTGAGGTTAATTTGCAGTTAATCTGTCCCCAGACCATCAGGGGTGAAATGTAAGTGGCCAGCTCTTCGCCCACTGGACACTTGTGCCTGCCTGTCCTGCTCAGACCCCAGGCTCATTCTTTTTACCGTGCCCCAAGACTTCTCTAGCAGCTTTATTGAGATATAATTGACATACACGTCACCCATTTAAATTGTGTAATTCAGCACTTTTCTGTATAGTCACAGAATAGTCACTGCAGCCAGTTTTAGGACATTTTCATCACCACGGAAGGAAACCCCATACTGCTTAGCTGTTGCCTGCCCTCTTCCTCTGTAAGCCCTAGACAACCACTAATCTTTCTGTTTCTACAGATTGCCTGGAATTTTCATAGAAATGGAGTCATAGGCTCTGGGGCCTTTTGTGACATGTTTCTTCTAACTAATGACTTCAGGGTTCATCTGTGATTCATCTGCAGTGTGAATCAGTACTTTGTACCTTCTGTGGCCAAATAATATTCCGTTGTTTGTCACACAATGTTTTATCTACCCATTCATAGCTGGGGTTGTGAGAAGCTCTTGGGCATCTTTTCATGTGCTTTTGGATATGTGTATATCTCCCTTGAAGAAATGTCTATTGAAGTCTTTTACCCATTTTTTGCTGAGTTGTAAGAGTTCTTTAGCTACTGTAGATATGCTAAATTCTTATCAGATACATGATTTGAAAATATTTTGCCCCACTCCTGGTTGTCTCCCCACCTTCTTGACAGTGCCTTTGGTGCACAAAAGATTTTAATGTTGAGAAATTCCAGTTTATTTTGTCTTTTGTTATTTATGCTTTGGGTGTTATATCTAAAATTCTAAATCTGGGGTCATGAAGATTTGCCCCTATTTGTCCTGGAAGATTTTTCTTCCAAGAGTTTATAGTTTATCTCTTGCATTTAGGTCTTTGATTCCTGTAGGATTGAATTTTTTATATTATGTGATACAGGAGCCCAACATCATTCTTCTGCATGTGGCTACCCACGTGTCCCAGCACTGTTTGTTGAAAAGACTTCTTTCCCCATGGAGTGGTCTTGACACCCTTGTCAAAAATCAGTTGATATAGATGGTTTTATTTCTGGACTCTCGATTCTATTCTAGTCAGTGCACATGTCTTGAGTATCATCCAGCCACGAGGTTTGTCCTGCTGCCATGGGGGCATTTGGCCCAAAAGCAGAGATCAGACACACAAACCACCAGAAACTGGGAAGTGCTGAGAAGAGTTAAAAGATAAGTGTTTATGAAGATGCAGAGGAGGGAGTAGTTGCTTGGGGCTGGGAGTATGGAGTGGGTATGGAGTGGGGAGTGAGGGGCCTGCCTGGGGGAGACATGGGCTTGGACCCAGGGGAGGATGCCTACTGTTTCTCTTAGTCTGGAGACAAATTTGCAGGTTGGGGATGGTCATGAACTCCTAGGTGAGGATGTTAGGCTTGATTTGGGAGTGTCTGAGCAGAGCCAGGCCTTTGGTGGCAGGGAGGCTGGGTCTGGGCAGGGAGCCTTGAGGCAGGAAACCACTCAGGATCATAGGGTGACAGATCTGGGTGAGCACCCAGGGCAGTAGATTGGTGGTGAGTAGGGACCTCCCAGGCCTGTTCACACTCCTTTGCCTCCCCTCTGCTCTGGGGCTAGGGTGCACAGCAGCAGCAGGGAGGCAGGGAAGAGGTTCACACTGGGAACCCAGCTCCACCACTCTGGGAAACACACACAGCCTGCAGTACCTCCAGGCTACTCTGGACCACGTAACCTTCTCAGAACTACTATTTGGCCAATTCCTGTATATCTTGGTTTCTATGAACTCCTGGCACACTCCTGAGAGCACGGGAGATAATACCCCCTGGCCTTTCGCTTTCTTTGGACATCACATGCTGCCTGCAGGGCTCCTTGGAGGCAGAGAGAGCAACCACCTGGGCTCAGCTGGGCTCTGTTGGGCCAGACTGGCTCCTGGGTGCCCTCTGTATTAGGCCTTCAGTGGCAGCACCTTCAGTGGCAGCTTTGGGTCTGGTGCCACTTCTCTGGAGGAGGAGGATGGTTGCCCCTGGGATTGTGATGAATCTCAGCTGGCCAACCTGTGCCAAGCACCTAGCAGGTAGGTAGGCAGTGCCCTGTGAAACCAGCTATTGTCCCTTCCCAATTTGGTCAGGTAGAATATGTGCTGAGAACATTTTTAAATATGTGCACTCTTCCTAAAAGTGTCAGTAGTTCTGTCTGGCCTTTATTTACTTTTCCTACTCATCTTCCCCATTCCAAAGCCATGTCCTGTGGCTGTCCCCTTTCTCGCTACAGGTGCCCCCACCCCCCCCCCAGTGTTGGCTGAACCCTTGGCATTTTACACTGTTGTCATTCCTGATGGGCATCCCCACTTGTTTGGGGTCTTAGCCCCTTCCAGAGAAACAGGGAGTGTGCGGAGAAGTTGACAGCTGGTGCCCGGGCAGCACGGTGCTTAACCTTGGAGTTGGAACAGAGAAACGTCTGTTTATGTTTCCATGAACGAGAGGGGACAGCTGGTCCGCAGATAGCAGGCTAGGTCAGCTGGGGGTTGCCTTGGCTGCTGATTTAAACAAACAGCCAGGGCCAGGGTCCCCGCCCCAGTTCTAGTGAAGTGGGCGGAAGAAGGATGGAGAAGTACCTGGCAGAGCCTGAGAAGAGCGACCTGAAAGCTAGTTCCTGGGGGGCTGTGCAGAAGCCGCTAAGGGAGCTGTTGGTACAGGAAGCTGCTCCCAGGACCTAGAAGCTGGGCCCTGTCAGCAAACCTGAGGACTGGGACTTTACCGAGCAGGTGAGAAGGGGCAAGCCTGTTTTGCTTCCAGAAGCTTCTCTGCTTTATGGAGAGGTTTCTCTCGGGCTGCTTCAACAAGCAGCTCCCAGGTGTGAAATAAAATCAGGTTTCCTTTGCAAAATTTCTGTTTGCCTTGGACTTTTCAGACCCACATAAATTGCATGCATGGAAGCAGGGTTGTGCTTTTGCAGTAAAAGGCAAACAGTATTAACACCCTCACCAAGCCAGGTGCCTGGCAGCCCCAGGGAGGGGTGGACATTTTCTGAGCAGAGAATCCCTGGGGCCACATACATCTACTTACCCTGTAGACTTGATTTTATACTGGTAACCTTGGAGCTGAGCTCTAATTCCATCTTCTCTCTGTGTGTGTGTGTGTGTGTGTGTGTGTGCCATCGGCCCCTTTTTTTTTTGATAGTCGTGTAAATCCTGTGAATGCTTTCTCAATAACAGAATTACAGAGGGAACCAATTGACTTATTATCAGAATATTTTTAAAAATAAGCTTTGCTAGAGTAGTCTGAGTGCTGCTTTTTTTGTCATGAAGTAAATAGCCTTATAGTAGGTCTAATAACTAATATTGCTACTTAATTATGTAACACTATAATTTAAAAGTAGGGATGAGCATAAATAACATTTCGAGATCTCTACTGCTCTGTAATGTGATGGGAAAATATCTGACTCTATTGATGACCAAGGCACAGGCACTGATAATGTGACCATCATTCTTGCCTAGATTCATAAATGAAGGAAATAGAAATGTTCAGTTGTAGCTGACTGAAACTAAAGATATAATTTGTTCCCACCCAGATTCACAGTTTCCATGTTAAGACTCCCAAAGTAAGCAATGACCGAAGGAGATTGTTTTCCTGTGCCGGTCTTCTTGCATCAACTCTGGCAACTCCCTGCCTCGGATTTAAGACTCCTTAGCATCCCAGAAACTCCAGAGGAGTATATTAGACCCCATTAAAAACATTTGTGCACACATAATAAAGGGCCCACCATGTCTGCTGACACCATTCCAGAGGTGGGGTCTAGGTTCTCTTTTCCCCATGTATTATGGGTTGAATTGTGTCTCCTAAAAAGATATGTTGAAGTTTGCACCCCCTGAAATGCGGAGTGTGACTTTAATTAGAAATAGGGGCATGCAGAAGTGATTAAGATGAGGCCATACTGGAATTTACTTTATTCTTAATCCAATGTGAGCGTCCTTATGAGAAGACGTGAGACACAAAGGGAAGATGGCTTTGTGAAGATGAAGAGAGATTGGAGCAACGCAGTGCCGCATGTCAAGGCTTGCCAGAAGGCCAGCAGCTAAGTGAGGGGCACAGGTGGATTCTTCCTCAGGTCCTTCAGAGAAGTCCGCCCTGCTTTGTCTTGGTTTTGGACTTCTAGACTCTACAACTGTTAGGCCTCCCGGCTTGTGGTGATTTGCTGTGGCAGCCCTAGGGGACTATTGGGAACGAGCACAGCTTTGAGCCTGGCTGCCATCCTCTCCTGGAGGGTGCTGGAGGGTTAACTCCTTTTTCAAGGAGTCTGGTTGTCCTGTAGCTAGCTGCCTTCAGCTCTGATTGTCTTGATCCGGGGCTCCTACTTGCCTTTCAAAAATGACAAAAGCGAGCTGTGCCTCTGGGTACCAGTAGGCAGAGCTTGTGGCTGTGAAAATTGGTGGGCTGGTACTTAGAGAGAGAGAGGGAAGGAAGCAGAATGCTTTGCATTTCATTTCATTTTGTTTGGCGACTTTGCCAGGGGTTTCAGCCTGGGAAGGAGAAAATGATTTCAGTTATACAGACAGGCTGAGATTGGGGTCCACTAGAAGGGGCATTTTAGGCCATTAAAGGGGTTAGGGATTTACTTTTCTGGGGAGAAAATGATCCACAGCAATATGTGACACCTTCTACCTTGTACCACATCAGGCCTGCTGGGGCACAAAGGAGAACCCCTACCCGCATTGCGGCCAACTGAGATGCCAGGCACGTGTCTGGTGTATTGTTGACACTCAGTGCATGTTGGTGGGACGAATGAGTGCAGCGAATCCAAAGTAGCTGCTCCCTATCCTTCTGAGGACAATAGCTGTGATTCAGTAGGGAATGGGCAGTGGGGTACTCAGGACTGACTGCTTCTGAAAGGGCGTAGACAAGAGAGGCAGCAGGAATCTGAACAGGGGCTACAGAGTCTTAGCCTCATCCTAAGAAGGAATCTGAGCAGGAGCAGGCTCGGTAGGGCAACCTTGTTTGTTTAACTCTTGCTAAATCACCCTTGGAAAATGATGACACAAATAAGCTCACCCATAACCCCCCATCCTGCCCCTCTGCTGCAATAACTGCATCTTCCACACATTAGGCCATGGAGCGTGTCTACCATTTGGTTCTACTTCTGGTACCCAGTCTTGCTGTGAACCCTTTTCCAGGTCATTTGTCATTTTTGACTGTGACTGTAACATTGGTTATATCCTGCTGTGCCAGAGCTGGAGTCCTTTTTAGATTGCCCAGGGTTTTTAGTTGGTGTAAAGCCACTTTCCAAAGTGGCCTGAATAGGACAGATGAGGCCTGTCCAATGAGAGGGACTGAGTGTGCCTGGGAGGAAAGCAGGGTGAGAAGGGGGCGGGGAGGAGGGGTCATACTGCCAGGCCTTAAATTCCAAACTGGAGACCATGGAGGCTGGGCATTATTTCATGGGATGCAGTGAACCCCTGAGGTTAGAATTTGTTCCATAAAGGTGTGCTGGTCACCTGCCAAGTTTGAGGCACTGTGCTGGCCCAGGGACACTGAGATGTGTCCCGAGAGCTTCAGTCTTCATAGGGGTAATAGGCCCAAAGACTCCCTAGGAACAAAGTGGAATGAAATGTTGTAGGCAGGGAAGGCTTGGTTGCAAATGGGAGTAGTTAGAGGGTGGGAGGAGCTGGAGAATCCCCCAGGTGTCTGTGGTAGTTTAGGCAAGGTGCCCCACATCAGAAGGCTGAGCAGCCAGAACATGTGCAGGTTTCCAGTGACAAGTGTAAGTTTGGGGTGTGGTGGCAGGTGAGAGGGTAACTTGGGCCACATCATGGATAGCCTGTAGTGTAGCTGGGTTGTTTTCTCTTAGCAGTTGGGAGCCACTGAAGGTTCTTGGGCAAGTGAAGTTTCCAGGCTTTAAGGACTACACTCTGGTTACTCATAAGGGGACATGGGTGAGCCCCAGGAGGTCCAAAGTCCCATAAGAAGAGGAGAACTGGAGCTGGGGTGTGGGGGCAGGAACAAGTCACTCAAGGAAGCAGTCTGGTGGGGCACCTGCTGACAAGGTGGGTTCTAGCGACATTTGTGAGACAGTAGCTTCCCCGGGGTGTCTCTTCTCATCTCCCAAACCCACTCGAGGTACGCCTCATGCATAATCAGCCTGCAGAGAGGCTCCTTGCGGTTTCAGACAGGCCTTTGAGGCTCCCTGTCTGGATCTTTCATCCTCCCAGTGCAGCGTGACAGGTGGAGGAAATGTTGATGTCTGGGCTCACCTTATCTTGCTGCTATTATCATGTTTCCCATATCATAGTAACAGAGCAGATGTCAGGGCCCGTTGCTAAGGGTTCCCTGGAATATTAATGCCTGGTGTAGAACCTAGGGCTCTTACACAGTGTCTTTGAGACTTCAGGAAGGACTGGCTTGGTGGTAAGTATTCTTTCCTATTTGTACCTGCTTTTCCTCCCTCCTTAAACCCTCATCTCTTCCCAGCCACCCTAGCCCAGTGCAGCTAGCTTTCTGCGATAGAAAATGTGCAGCCTCTCTCCCACATCCAGAGCAGGCATGACTAAAGGATCCCAGCATTTCTTCCCACAGAGGCTGAATGCAGACTCTGAGTCCTTTCCAGATGTCATTTGGGATGAAGCCTCTTCTAGCCCTGCACAGCTCACCTGGAAAGCCTCTGGGGTTGTCCCCAGGCCCCTCTCCTCAGGGCTCTGCCCTTGGAAAGTGGGCGGGGAGCCAAGTGGGTTTGCTCACCACTTACAATGCCTGTTTGCCTCCCTCATCAACGCTTTCAGCCCTTCCACTGATCACAAGTTTGAAAATCAAACGAGCAGCTCAGGAAGGATTTTGGTAGGATTGGGGCTTTATTTGCCACATGCTCTTTGTGTTAGTTATATGTTGCCAGAACACCACTGCATAACAACTACCCCCAAACTCAGTGGTTTACAACATTTCTTTATCACTGCTCCTGAGTCTGAGGGTTGGCTTCTGCTCTTGGCTGGCTGCATATTTCATTCACCATGCTGGTGGCTTGCAGAATCTTCTGTGGCTAGACAGCCTTTCATGCCCTCTCCCAGGCTGTTGGGAACCAGCATCCTGTGCTTCCTGGTGACTTGGGTCTGCTTTTACACATGGTGACCGCTCCTAGACTCCTGGGTTTTCTTCTGCCCTTCCATGCTGCCTGCCTCTTGCCTGCTGTTCTCCCTGTATCATTTCTTCTCTCCCCACAAGGTCAGACCCTGTGACTTGATGAACGTTTGTCCATCACACCATGCAGCAGTCCATCGTTCTGCTGTATCAGTGAGAGTTCCCTGAAACAAAATTAAGCAGATGGAAATGCCAGGGCCTAAAGATGAGAGAAGCAGTGGGGAAAGAGGGTGGGTGAGAAGGAGGAGGTGCCCCGAGAGGCGGGTGGAGACCCCGTGGCTGATGTGCCCAGCCCACTCTAAGGGCAGGTTGTTTTCCTCGGGATCTCTCTCATGATTGGTGCATCTCAGGGACAGTACTGATGGCTGGCAGTATTTTCCGCAGTGTGGTGAAGGGCTTGTATGTTTTGGAAGCTTGGGGGTCAAACAGCAGTGTCTTCCTGAATTGGTAACGGTTTGTGCTCTCTCTGGAGTTGATAAGAGTGTGCTGTTAGCTCATCCTCATGAGGAGCTGTAGGGGAGGCAGACGCCCCCACCCCTTCTGAGAGGAGAACATGCAATTTGCAAGGTGTTGGGTGACTGACCAGGTGTTGGGTGACTGACCGCCTGGTTGCTTGGGGCTCTGAGGCCAGTGCTCAGTT